CAGATCCCTGTCCCAGGGGTGGGATTTCTTCCCCACGGTCCCAGCACCCAGAGCAGCACCTCTGTCCCGAAGGCTGCTGGGCCTGGGGGGTCTGTGGGGGTCTGGGGTTACCTCGGCACAGGGTGCTGGTGTTGTAGAGTGCACAGGTCTCCCGTGTTGCTGCCCCTCTCTGCACACAGCTCCCTGTTTCTACAGGAAGAGGGAGCAGGGTTTTCCCAAGGATCCCAATCCAGCACCCACTGCAGCCGATGGTGTTTGGGCCCTGGGCTGCCCTGAGCACCAGAGGGTTTGGGATGATGAGGACTCATTCCCAAGGCTGGACATTCATCCCTCCAAGGGGCTGTGAGTTGGGGCTCATATCTGCACCTCCTCAGGGAAGAGCCCCAAACAGGGGCTTTATGAACAGCTGGTTTTCTTCCTTTTCCATCGCTCGGTGCTGCTCCATGTGCACATGACAGAGGGTTCCCAGTGTTATCCCAGCATGGCAGGGAGCAGCACACACCAAAACCTACACCCCTGCCCACTGGACTGGTACAGATCCCCCCTTCCCTCTGGATGGGTCAGCTGAGATGGACCTTGACCATGGAAAGCAGCTGGGACTGGGCACCTGAGGGTGCTGAGTGCTGGCACCATCCCAGCACTGCCCCAGCCCAGTGACAGGGGCTGGAGAAGGCTGGTGGGAGCCCCTCCCTGTCCCCCCCAGCTGAGCCCCTCACCTGGCTCCTCAGAGGTCCTGCAGCCCACCCAGACGCAGCCGGTGGTGTTGTGTGAGGGGGTGACAGCAGTACATGTCTCACAGGACCTCAGCTCGCCACACTCTCCTGCCAAATCCAGGGAAAAGGGATGAGGGCAGGGCCAGCATCTGTCCCCCTGGCTCTGGGGTTGAGACTGGACCCTCAGCTCCATGGAGGGGGAATTCTGATGATGCTGTGGGAGGGATGAAGGCACATCCCACAGCACCAAGCCCACCCACACGCCCGTCCCAGTGGAGTGTTTGCAGCGTCACCAGCTCTCCAGAGAGGGGACACCCCACAGCTCCCAGCCTGGGACACACAGGGCTCACCCCA